CCCAGATTCTACCTAAGACCTCAGTTAATCTCACTGCTAATACTGGACCACCATCCTTAAAAATCTCAGGGGTAAACCTGTCAGGGCCTGCTGCTCTCCCACGCTTCAGATTTCCTATAGCTTTTTCAACTTCGTAAAGAGACGGAGGACCTACATTAACTTGCCATTCAGGTTGACTGGAGATCGTGGGAAACCGAAGTGTGGCTGAAGGCCAGTTGAACTGATCCCTAAAGTGTTCTGCCCATCGATCCAATCTCCTGGATTGAGAATGATAATATGTCCATCTTTCTCTGAGATTGTTTCGCTAACAGTTGGGTTCCTAATACCGGTTTCCTTAACAAGTCTGAACAATTGTCTGCTATTACCTATTGCCTCTGCCTTTTCCATCTCTTGCTTTCGCTACCCACCACTGTTCGCGATCGTTGCGTAGGCTCCTTATCAGCCTACGCTTAAGCTGACTCCGCTCTTCGTCATGTTCAGATCCTGATGGAATGAGTTTTCGAGCATCTATCAGTGCGGTAGGTGCTGCTGAGATCCAGGGTTGCTCCTTAACCTTGTGGTTTATCGTACTAGCAGACATCACTGCTGTTTCCACAGCTTTTCGGATATCATTCCATGCTGCCTCGGGGTGGGCATCACATACATGGCTGCCTAACTGTTTTCCTAGTTGTTCCTGAAATATACTCTTAGCTTGACTATCATTAAATAGGACCCTAAGAGGTTTCCCTGCAGCATCTTTCTTACGTCAAGTAAGACGCAGACAAATACGCACTCGCATTAGAGCATGATATGAATCTAAGCATGTGCTCCAGAATAAGCGACAGTCTTCTATCGAGCCCCTCCATCGGTGGCTGATAGCGATGTGATCTATTTGGGTCCAACGTTGGGACGAATTAGGGGGTCGCCATGTCAAAAGATGATTTTCCTTATGCTTGAAGTTAGTATTTGCAAGAAACAGGCGGTTATCTGAGCATAGCTGCAACAGACGGTCGCTATTATCTGTTCTTTGAGCCACGACACTATAAGATCCACCCAGGTGTCTTTCCCCATCGCTTAGTTTACCTACTTGAGCATTAAAGTCATCAGCCACTATTACTACGTCAGAGCGTCTAGCTTTTCGAAGAAGGTCGGAAAGCTTTCTGTAAAACTCATCTTTTACATCATCTGAGCTGCAGTCAGTGGGAGAATAGGCAGAGACGACGAAGAGGCAACGACGAGTGTCCCTATCTTTCCGGATTCTTACTGTTCCGTTCAGTCGGACAGCGCACAAACGACTGTCTACTGGGATCCACTCTAAGAGAGCTAGTTCTGCCCTAGGACTCAATGCTATACCTACGCCGGCGAGGCCACGGGGAGCAGAATCAGGGCGGTTCTTTATTTTGGCATGGTGAGGTCAAATGAATGACGCTACTCGGATCCTGTATGCGCGTTTCGGAGACGCAGCACACATCGATGGCGCGGCATTCTAAAGTCCTAGCTAAGGAAGCCTGTTGTCCTATTTGGCACAGTGTTCGGACGTTAAAAGCTCCTACGTGTAGTTTAGAGCGTGGTTTCAGGAGACCAGGAATAGCGTTCTGCGTACTCGAATCGTTTGCCCTAGCGGTGCGAGATGATAAAGAGACGTGAGGGGGGTTAGTCATGGAGATAACAGAGGTATTAGGAGGTGTAGGAAGGATTTGAATGTGACCAACTTGGTCTCGTGTGCTGTTACGGGTATGAGGGCTGATATCACTTCCCGGTTGCCCACACCGTGGAAGGGTATTTCTTGAGGAACCTGAAAAGGAAATTGGATTAGTGTGGTTAGGAATCAGTAGGTATATCTGAATTCCAAAATTTGATGAGGAGCGAATATTTGGTATACGTAACTACTCCAACTGCTAAGACCAGACCCCAATCATTAAAGACTTTCTAGACTATTACATCTGGACTATCGTAACTAATGTTTGGAGACTAGGTGACATGGCTCAGAATTGATCACTATGACGTCGGTGTATACACTCTTTGTCTTCCCTTAAACTAAGAGATTAAAATCATTTTATACCTTTCTTTCTAATTCTCTCTTCCTGTACTGTATCTTTATACACAATCTTTCTTTTATGTATTACTGTAATTGAAGTAACTACTCCTATGAATTTGGTGTTCATCTTGTTGTGTTAATGAGTTATGGCAACTTGGACCGATGCACATATGTGCCTGGTACTATGTTGTAGCTGACTGACTGACATCTAGACCTGCTGCTTTACTCCACTTTAGATAAACCAGAGGACTTGTGTTGACATTCCATTGAATTTGCTTGGTAACAGTTAAAAACTGGATGGTAGATGAAAACCAGTTAACGTGTTCTTCAAAGCGTTTTACACATCGTTTTAGTCTACTGGGTTGAGAGTGGATTACTGCCCTATCTTTGTCAGAAATAGTCTAACTCACTTATGACCTTTTTAATACCTATCTACTTGCATGCCTGAAAAGTAGTCTATCATCGTCCATTGAGCTGCTTTTATCATCTCTCTTGCTTTCACTGACCAATACTGGTTACGATTATTGCATAGACATGTCAGTTTATATCTATGTTGTCTTCGCTCCGCATTGCGTTCCAAACGTGAAAGGACGAGTTTTTGAGCATCTATCAATTGAGTAAATGGTATCGAAGTCCATCAATATTTCTAAATCTTTTGGTTCAAATCACTGGTAGATAATACAGTTGTTTTCACAGCTCTCTGAATATCGTGCCAGTCTACATTAGGGTAATCACTGCTTTTATGATTGTCTAACTGCTTCTCTAGTTTTTCCGGTAATAGATTTTTGACATCTTGTAGAAATGCAGAATACTAATACGTTTTCTTGTTGCAGCTTTCTTGACTTCAGTAAAGCTCAGTTTGAAGCATTATCGAATTGAAAACAGAGCAGCAGTTCGTTCTGTCCTACTTTATAGCAGTGAAGCATGGCCGGGGTAAGAGTAGAGGATATTCGTAGGTTACTAGTATTCGATCATAGATGTCTTTGAAACATTGCTCGTATATCCTGGGACCATCGAGTAAATAACTCAGTTGTTAGGAAACGGGTACTAGGTAAGGACGGAAAATCAATTGATGAAGTAGTGAAACTTCATCAGTTGAGATGGCTGGGACACGTGTTACGTATGCCCAATCACCGACTGCCTCGACGCGCGATGTTCTATCTGATGTTTGTGCTGATGACGTCGTTCAGAAGAACGATGAAAGCTCTACGACCAAACCATCCAGCTCAGAGAACAAAACTCCACCAAAAAAGATGTTCAATAGTGTAGGAGTAGGTTGGAAGAATGTTAGGGGCGGCCAGACCACAATATGGCATAAATCCATGAAGTCACTGATAAGTGGATTGAGCTATGTTGGTAGGTGTAGACTACCTGGTTGGGGACCGCGAGATGATAGCAACCGATGGTTAGAGACCCTGAATGACATGGCTCAAAATTGTCTGCAATGGAGCAGATTCATCCACTCTTTATGTTCTCTCAAATTCGAATCTTCTGAAACATTCATGTCCCTTCTTTTTCTCTTTCCAAATTTATTTCACTGTATTATACTTCATGAACAACATCTTCAAGCCCTAATCTTTCCGATTACTGCTTATACTTTTACTACCTCTACCACTATGGGATTTGAATCGACCACTGCATCTCTGTGCTAATGTGGTATGGCAACATGAACTGATGTACGTACGTGCGAAGTTCTGCGTTGTTACTGACTGACTGGCTCCAAAATGAACGACAGTCTTCTAACAAACTTTCCCGACGATAGTTGATGGTAATATGGTCTATTTGTGTTCATCGATCTGTCGATTTTGAGACTTACGATGTATCTTTGTATGCTCAAACTTAAAACTTACTAAGTTCAAATAGTTTTGTGCTAGGGTTACGCTCGACCCTTCAGTTTTCTAAGAACAGCAGAAAGCTCTATGCAAAACTCATATTTTGTTTCATCTGGACTGCAGCTATTTAAAATGTAGACAGAAAAGACGAAGAGGTGCCACCAAATATATCTAACTTTCTGTGCTCCTAATATCTCTTTTAGTCAGACAGCGTATAAGAGACTATCTATTGAGATGCAGTCCAGGTGAGTCTATTCTACTTTTGAATTAAGGGGGATGCATACTGCAGCGAGGAAACAGGAAGTAAAAGTCACATACAGAGATATACAGAGGATAAGCCACTCCAACCCTCCATTTTTACTACGTGACGTTCATTCAATGACCACACTTGGGTTCTATATGCATGTTTTGAAGCCACAGCACAAATCGATAGCGTGAGATTCTGTAGTACCACCTAAAGAAGCCTGATGTTCGACTAGACATACGGTTAGAACACTGAAACTCCATCATGTAGTCTAAAGCACAGTTCGTAAAAGCGATTTGTTAGGATTGTTGACGCATGGTGATAAAGACATAGAAGAAGAGTTGGTGGTGGGGATTGAAGAAATATTAAAAAGTTACGGGGTTTGATTATGAAAAAGGTGGTCTCGAATGCCGTTAAAGATATAAGGGCAGTTGTCACATTCGGGTTGTACACAGAGTGGAAGGATACTTTTTCTTATGGGCCTGAAAAATAAGCTGAATTAATAGTGACCACAGTGACCCGGGAGTGTGACCACAGAGCCCGAAGGACAACAGTTCGAGGTTAGTCGTGAAATATAGGACCTTTAAGTGACCATTTATAACCCCTTGCTTCAATTTTAAAAGGCAACAACGCCATACTGGTTATTTGGAAGAAACTTTACTTCTGTACAGTCAGCAGTATGACTTCGCCCTCGAAATTTAGGTTGATACCTTTAGTCTTTAACTAACCTGCCTAGTATGATATGACCTAAAGGAGCAAGTGTTCCAGCGAATTTGGATTAATTAAGTTATCATAATAAACAAGCTAAACCACCACGTCATTGTAGCAGTTACGACTGATAACTGAAAAATGACATGGGGTTAAAAATGCCTGGTTTATTTTAAACAATAATAAATTAATGAATTACCTGAATTGTGAATCCATTTTTAGAAAAGAACCAGGTGACTGTAACCAAACTTCTGTAAATCCACCTTGTACATTTTTCTTTACCCAAATCGATTTGAATTTATAACCATCTACTTGTCGATTACTACGTCTTGAATTTGTTTGTGGAATGCTTGAACTATCGAGATTGGACCCAGATGTAGAACTCAAATTATTACATGAACTTTGATTAGGCTAAACATAAAAAACCCAAAGTCGATGAAATGGAAAAAAGATTATTATTTTTTTCACAGGATGAGAGAACAATCTGAGAATATTTTTTAGCTAATATAACTCAGTTTACTGGATGGAACTATGTTTTCCCAAGTTTACAATCATCTCGTTTAGTATACCATTAATGTTACTACTATCATTAAGATTGTTTTGCATATTATTTGAATGTTAAAATAACATAAAGAATGGTGATCGACTAAACAATCAAAGCGAAACACAATACATTCGAGTGAGAACTGATCGTGAATGCTACCCTATTGAATTGTAATAATTGTGAATATAGGGAACTGGAAGAAATTATTTCAATAAAAACAACAATTTCTACAGACCTATACTGATCATTTTCATGTGCTCATTAGTGAATAGCGTAGAAAGGTAGTTCTAGAAGTTTAACCATGTCGGCCGTGAGGCAGTTACCAACCGAAGACGGTCGCACAACGTGAAATCGTAAATGCGCTCTTCTGATGAGTCCCACATTAGAACAGGATGACCCCCAATACTTTCAGGTTTTCAATGGCGGTCTAACATTGATTGGTTCATGACCACAACAAAGAATATAGTTCCGCGGAAAACTTTAATTTAGATCATGTCACTTACTTAAACCGCAACATTGTATTAAAATTTACTTTTAAAAATGGTAGTCAGAAATAAAACAGATGATGTTGAGTCATTTAACGAAAGTGTTGTACATAATGAAGTACTGAATATAATGGTTTATAACAACTGGAGAGGCGCTGCATCACTTAAAAAGTAATAAAGACTAATAAATGTTCTGAAGTATTGAGTTAGTTGAAGCTAATATGAAATGATATTTTTACAAGAAATGAAATAATTAATTACCTAAATTGAGAATGTGTTTGATGATTGAGCTATTAACTAACTTGGATACCCCTTTAGACAAAAATGGATAGTGCTCGGATTTGCGTTTGGTAAGTGCATGCTTTGAACAGTCTAGGTTGCCGGATCCATAATAGCAAGTAAGCCAATAGATACACAGTGGGATGACCCAAAATGCCAATTTATCCTAGACACATCTACAAATGAGGTGTTTACTAGAGGGAAAAGTTCGGAGCTCCACTAAGTAGGTTTAGCTTATAAACCTTGGTAATCTGTTGTGCAATATTCCTGCTGTCTCATCCCCTTTGAATTTGGCAGTCATAAATAAAATTTTCAAAACTGTGAATTTACTTTCAGCCGACGTTTTGGCTTCAGATTACTATCAATAAACCTGTGGAGAACCATCGAAATAGAGATGTTTGATAGATTTTAACGAATTCAAAATTGACCGCGTCATTTGTCTAGTCTCAAAGATATTGGATTAGATTTCACTTCCTATTCAATGACTTAGCACGTCAACTACATTTTATCGATTATAAGAAATAGTCAGATCTGTATCAATGAAGAAATAATATACTTTGAGGAATAAAGTGCAATGATGTTTTATTTCACAGGCTTTCACTAATAATGGGGAGTTTAAAGTATCTAAAGTCCGTTTACAAATTTACAAGTGCAGACCACGTACACTATGGGAACAAAGAAAGAGAATTACACTCACTCTGTTAAATACGCTTCACAGTCAAAAATTAGATTTCCAATCGACTATATATGTGCAATCTCAACTCTTTACTGACTCTAAAATCATGGACAAAATACTTCAATCTTCTTTGTTTTGTTTAGTTCATTCATACCAAACGAATCAACTCTAATGTTTGTGAGTATAAAACGAGAGTTCAAATTATCTCAATAGCTTATCCATCCATACGTTTTTAGTTTATATCAGTTACAAATGTCGCACATAAGACTCATTCGTATACAAATTAAGATATAGAATATTCATTATACATACGTTCAAACAAGTGTAATGTTTTAATTGTGAAATATATTTACATCCGAAAAACCATGTATTACAAAAACAAAGTTGGTGTGTTGTGTGGGATGGTATTTGAATAAAAAATAGTTTTACTGTCCAACCACTGTTATTTTCTATCCTTAAACAAACTCTTGTCTTTTATGATAAATATTACAGAGATAAAAAACGAATTCTAATAGATTAAACGTAAGTTAGTCTCGAAATCATTTTTTAAAAGCCACTAAACATTAATGTCTGTAATAGATTCCAATCATAATAATTCATGTAAGTTAACTAACTTGCTCAGACCGATGAAATGGTAAGTTATTCATTTGACTTTCAAAAGTTGTTTCATTTAATGGACTAGCCGGAGGTACAATAAATATCTTGGTGCCTTGTTGAAGAATATCTGTATATTAAAAAATGGGGAACTTTAATGTCAAAAGAAGAGTAAAGTACTTAACAAATAATAGAATTCATTAACTTGGCCAATACATATTTGTGTACTCGGCTTTGTTTATGCGACAAATAGCGATATATTGGAGCAGAACAGCTCTTAAACCTACAAAAAGATAATTGAAAGTTACGATTTGATCACTAAGCCGTGAATTTACTTAGAAATGTTGGTAAGTGTTTGTGTATTTACCAAAAATATTTATTCAACTTTGCTTAGTCCATACTGCTGACTAACATAAGTAATTGTAAAACAATCACATCAATCAAACATAATTAATAGTCAGATGAGGATGATTTAAACTATGAATGTTGGTTTTTAATGCCATTTTGTGTTCAAAACATCAGCAGTGAAGCCTGGATCATTAATATAAGTTAGCCACCACAACCATCCTATGGTTGTTAAACCTTACGAACAGTGTTGATGAAAAATACTACAAGGATTCTTTAACAGAACGGTTCTTCTAAATATTTTCTCAATAAGAACGGGTAGAAGTATCTGCCTTTAAGAAGGGGCTATTTGCTATACACCGATGAGAATAATGATTGGCAACTGTTGGGATCTATTTTTGGACTAATACTATACGTATATCTTTATCGTATAATTGTCAAATATCCAAACTATTCATACTCGTGTTCCTCTTATCATAAGCTTTATTTTGACCTATGAACTATTATTATACGATTTACCATTTTTGAGTTATGCCCAATCTATCAATTACTGTCTCCCACATTCATAGCCACATTTAGCTAAATCTTGTACAAATGCTGTTTTCTATTTTTTGGTACGATGTGGTCTATTTAGTTGGTATATAAACCCAGTATGTTTGAAATAAATTATTCATATCGCAGAGGCTGAGATTAGTGTTCTGGACTTAACAGGCAGGGTTAGGCAGGAAGAAGAACCGGTAAAAACTCTAGACTGCTCGTATGGGTTTTATGCGTCATTGGTCCGGTCGATAAACCACTGTTCTCTAATTGGCGGTATCATTACGTTATACATTATTAGGACACAGGGCACAAGTTATAACACTATTCAACCAACTTTTTGAGCACAAATCAAGGGATCGACGACAAACTAACAGCTTTTAAACTGTAAACTCTTTTCAGTTCCAAATAATGGCAACGTTCAAAATTTACTTTTTGCATTCATTCCGTGAGATACAGTGAACTAATGTGTAGGTGTGACTAGAAAACGTTCAAATCAATATTTTACCTAACACTAGAATATTGTGGAGAAATTATCCAAGATAGGAGAAAAAGAACTACATACTTGGTGGTGATTTAACACTCATTGAATAATCTCCTCCGTCAAGATGTATGGTATGATCCTGATTTACTTGTACATCATCCACAATAACAGAAGACTGATTGAAATAGATTTTTCCATTGATATCTGAATAACAAGGACAGTGCGTATTGGATTTTTCAGAAGCCACTGATCCATATGTTACAGATCTCCGACTAGAGCGCTGGTGAACATTGGTTGATGGATCAGTTCGTGCAATTTTAGATAAAGAATGGCTTGGTGACTCCACTGAATTCGATCGTTTAGGCTCAGGTACAGCAGACGTCGTGCACTTGGGTCGTTTTCCATTCACTCCACCATTATATTTGGCTTTAATTTTGGCTGATAGAGATGCAGGCTTCTTTAGGTCCCCCCGAGCCACAACAAAAGGGTTGGAACGATAAGATATACCCTTGGCTGACTCAACACGGTGTAGGTGACCTCGTGTAACTAAGATGTCTAGAGAAGATAAAACGAGGCTTTCAGGAATACTATGGTGCTTTTGGCAAAGTGCCAGGACAATCTCTTGTACAGGGCGTCTTCTTAAGTTTTTCAGATGAACAACGATATTCATGACTTTTGATATGATAGAATCAGATATGAGAGATTGATCTTCACATGATGGTAGGGATTCGGAAGCATCAACATCTAGCTCCGGCTTTGAAGTTCCATTAGTAGGCTGAACACGCTTTTTGGAAACCGGTTTAGAGGCAGTAGTAGGAAGAGATTTAGAGTTTGGTGAATTACTGCGGTGGAGAGATCTAGTGCTCTGAAACTCATGTGTGGGAGAAGCCTTTAGCATAATCGTAACAGATTTACGTGTTTGCCGAGGATAGAATTTTCTTGGGTATCAGAGGTAGTGAAGTTACCTACATTCTTATCTCCCTTCAGGAAGTTTTGAGAGACTTGCTGATTTGCAGATGCTGAATCATTTTGTTTACAAGCACCATCATTGGGCTGCAATTTGCGTTTGCTAGACTTGGGAGTATTACGGTTTGATTGGTCAGGAAGTGATCTTGATGTTTTTTGTAATCGTTGTGAAGTATCTCCGCAGTTATCTTTAGAAAGTCCGGCAACAGGAACTTTGTCCATGGGAACTTTACAGTCATCTTCAGCCTGGATTGTATTGGGACTAGATAGTGAACCAGTTGAAGCACCAGAAACTTCACAGGGAACCCAACCATTATCTGGGTGTATCGTATGATCTGAACGGTCAAGTGTTTGGATGTTCAACAACGCACCTGGATCGCAGACTAATGGTGTTTGCGAAACACTGGACTCAGAACTCGGAAGGGATGACGAGTGGCCAGAATAAGTTCCCGGTTGTAACGAAAAGAAACTAGTCGAACTTAAGGCTACTGAACTTGGAGCAGAACGACGCGACGTTGGCCGTACAGTATTTCTCTTACCTAACTTAAAAGGAAGTGGAGGTGGTTGGCTTTTGGTAGACGAAATACTGCTCTTGTCTGCAGCTAAGTCGTCATCGCTATCTTTTTCTAATTTTACAGACATGTCATGAAATCCATCTGTTTCACACTTCAAAAGCTTACTGCGAGAAACCAAGGGTAGAGAGTAGCGCCTTTTTCCATGATGAAGTTTGCGGTAACGGATGTGAAAGTCTTGAATTAATGAAAGGCATGGTTCGCGAAGACTGGTGAAGGGTTCCCAAGAATCTTGCTCCGGAGGAAACCCTTTCCATCTAACACGGTACTCCACGCGACCACGGCGAACTCGTCTGTCTATAATGCTCTCAACCTAAAAACGTAAAGTTCAAAGTTCAATTCATGAAAAGCAATGTAGCATTAAGAGAATGAGACGCAATCATGAAACTACGTTATAACTACCAGCTACAAATCACCTTAAGCCTTGGAATTCACTTAAAATAGTATGCCAAAACAGTATCATACGAAATACTTTTAAAAATAACTAAATTCACATATCACTGTTTTATGAAGTCAGATATTTTGCTGCTTTAAGATGGAGGATCTTCAAACTAGCAACCAAAGAACATTTTTATATCATATTTAATGACAGTATTTTGGTGATGGCATACTGACCTGGACAAATTATTTATACCTAGACATTTGAGCACTCCAAATGTCAATTTAAACTTCCAATCAACTACGACGGGATTCTGAAAACTAATTTTCGAAACTGTAACCACCAGAAATAATCAATGACAAATAGATACCAATACCAAAGGACCTGGTGCAAATATGCATTGGTCTCACTTGCTGCATTTCAGAGAAACGGCAAATTAACGAACAGGTAAAACAACGATGAGTGAACGACTTTACCAGCAATAATGATAACAAGAAAAATAATGAAGAGTCAAGAGAAAAAAGTGAAGTGGACAGAACGAATATTGTACATTACTTTGGGAATTTGGCGCAGGAGACGGAATTAATGCGCCAATATCAGTGAGTTATCACACGCAAAAACTAGAAAACCTCCACATCTCCACATAGCTAAGCAAGAGTCCGAGTGTAGGGACAACAAAGCCAACAATCCCAGTTATAAATTTTAAGCCTCATCAAGACTTACCAGTTCCAACAATTAGTTCGCCCATAAATTCAGTATTACTTGATTATTTTATTATAAACGAGCAATGTTATGAAAAGACTAATCAGTAATCCAGGATTTAAGGATATACTCTTTTCAAAAGTTGTCATAGATTCGCAGTTATGTGGAGCGGATATGTGTTCATGAAGATTATATATATATGATTTCACTGGTGTGGGCCAACGTCTACGCTAACGATAAGCATTGAAGTGGTAGAATGTAGTGACTACTTAACTCATCTTGGAAGTCTCAAAAGCCCTTGAAATGGATTCAGAAAGCTCGATTAGTCTTTGCCAACTTAAATCATCTCTCGCTTGCCCGAGATCTCCATTTGCTAACCAAAGGTCGAGTATGCTGCACAGCAGCTCGCTCTATCTACTTTACGGCTGTGGAACGTGGTCTTTAAAGTAGGCGACTTATTCGTAAAACTGATGATTGTCAAGATCACGGAGTGGGTAGTACTGAGATTAGACACAAAGAACTAGGGATTTGAACATTCCTTAACTTGATTAGTTGAGACATACCATCTGAGATAGTGGTCTATTCTTAACAGATGGATTTACTAATATCTTACCCATAATCTTCGAATTGGACATAATGCCAATTGATTTCAACCACTGATCGTTCCAGTTAACAAGAACAAAATCCTCTTGTGTGATAATCACTAGAGTCCATGAAGATCATACTTAAGAAAACCAGACTGTCTTTAGACCTGGGAGTATTCGCGTATACCAAACAGTTGCTCCTCATCAAATTTTGGAATACAGACATACCTACTGATTCCCAACCACAGTTCCATTTTTCGACCTTAAGGCAGCGTTTGATTCTGCTGGTTGCAAGATTTTATGGGACTGTCTGCCAATTAAAAGCTCACCACAGTACAGCATCCTTGTGCAGACTGTATACTCGAATGCTACTGATTGAGTCAGAGCTTATAACAAACTGTCATTGGAAGTGCTAACTCTAGTGGCGTTTGTAAGTTTTCCAGTGTCCCTATTCTTGTCTAACCTCGCCATAGACATTCGTCTAGTGATAATGCTCTCATCGTTTAACGCTTCAGGGATTGATTTCTTACTGAGAATATCGCTTGCTAACTTAGAATACTTAAGTAACATAGTCTTGTTTTGATAGAAACTCTGAGAAAATGCAGTCTTCTGATCGTCTTGAGCAACAGTGTAAACACGTTTGGTTTGTAATTTGTTCCCTCTAAATTCGATATGTTGCTTCATGACTGGTTTGCGTTGACACTTAAATTAATGATAACGAGTGAAGTAGTTGATAATGTTCTACTCTAATATAAACATTGTGTTGTCATTCAAAAAACTGACTGACAACTAAAGGTGAAGAGAAGTAACATACAATAAGAGTATGAATAATCTAGTGAGGTCGTTTTTAAAAATGAGTGATACTTTTACTGACAACACTATTTAAGCAGTACTAAGACGCAGAAATAAATATCTAAAACAGATGAATTTTATGAACAACTAATTACTATCACTTTGACATAGTGTATCCGATGAATCATGGATATTCTATGTGTGTGTTTGTAGACTGTTCCATAAAGAGCATTAATTTTCAATTCTGGGAATGTTGCTTCATGACTGGTCTGCACTAATACTTAAACTGATGATAGACAGTGTAGTCGAGTGCTTCTACTATTTCACTTGTCTTAGAAATATCACCAGCCATCCTAGTAATTAGAAATAGAAGTTTCCACCGAAGCACTCCTCGCGCTTTCTCGGGCCACTTAGTGTGCAACCGTGATGTCAGACAAAGAGCTCTAGGTATAGGTGGCGAACCAGTTGACGAGATAGTGGACATCAATCAATTTAGGTAGTTTGGACATGTATTACGTGATCCCAGCCATCGTCCACCTCTACGTGCGACATTAGCTATTGTAGGAGTTTATTCAAGGAAATTTGTAGGCGGCCAGACCAAAACGTAGGATCAGTCAGAAAAGTCACTTACTGTTGTAGTGAGGCATGTTAATGAGTGCAGTCTGAAAGGTTGGGGTCCACGCTATTCTCATGACCATTGATTAGAGTCGTAGAGGATAATCCCGAGTCGTTGGTCAGGAGACAAATGTATTCACCGCTGATCTTCCCACCTTAAGAATTTTAACTAGCTTTTAAATCTTTTGGTTCATGAATTTATTCATTTTCTTCAAATCATTTTGCCTATTCTTAATATTTTCAACCACCTACCAGGTTCTGCCATATGTACTACTGAGTGACTCAGGTAAGAAACAACTTGGACTAACTAGTCTGACATATAAGCATGAGATATAAAACCACAGCCTATCTAGTCAGTAGTGGAGTGAGATACAAAATGAATATTCCACAACCAATGGAAGGTATTTCCAGCACCGGACGCGTAGTTCCTACCAAAACTAATCTCCACCAAAATAATAAAGTGCATGGTGAGCTAAACATTTACGGCGAAAAAATTGCCATATGTCAAGAGTGGTTGACTGCTTAAATCTAATGGATTAAAGTCCATAAACACAATATACTTTAGGTAACATCGAAAGAACGTCGAGTAGCTAACACATAGTCAAACTTACAAGAAAAACACTACCAATCTATTGAAACTCTATTCGGAAACATCTTAAGACCATCAAACCCTAAATCCTTTCAGAGAATCGAAAAGCGGAGGTTACGCAGCTCTCCAAAGTCGCTGAGGTCATGTATCGAAGATTGGATTAAATTAAGTGTTAAACAAATCTCTTTAAAATTAAAACAGATATCCTTACTAGGTAAATATTGTGCTCCTCGCTTTCTGACTGCTTCATACCACGTTAGTTAGAATTTTAATAAGCTACCTACTACAAGCCAAGGTTTTGAGAAGTGCGCGTAAAAGTCGGACTAATATTAGCGCATAGCCATGAACAGAAAGGGATAATCATTACATCCTGTGAACATGTTATCTTTCTAGACTACTATAACTTGCTACGGTGTACATAGAAGTGAATACAACCATACTTACCATCATGTAAGGCACCGAATTTATGCTAGTAGCCAATCGTCTAAGTAATCTGGCTTTGAATAAAATATCAAACAATATTATCAAGTTCAGTAAACCTCTATGATCTTAAACCTTGAGCCTCGAATTTAGACTGTATTTTAATTGATTAAACAGGTTTTTGAGAGGCTGTCGATGTGTTGACCGTGACTACAGGTATCACGGATGAATAATCTCCAAATCAAATTGTTCAATGGATGTTATGTGAAGTGATAAGTACTGTTTGTTTTAGTGAACTGAAAAAGGAAAGGGTGTACATCAAAGTATCGAATACAATAGTATACTTTACTCCGTTTTTTACCTAATGTACGTATTCTCTCTTTTAATGATCTGACATCTCTGGCTATTTATTTCCAACGCTCATTTCAGGGAAGAACACGTGTAGGTTCCAGTTTCCATATGGTAATTTTACTTGAATAGTAACTTTTAGTACGTAGGAGCCATCATATTGTGTTATTGGACGCTCTTTTATCCTTTTTCGTAGGCATTCCAAATAATTTGAGAATGAAAGGAACATCCTTTTCTTACCTGTTTAGCGAACATGTTAAAATCGCTAACTTTCCTTTTTAGCAGGTGGGGTCACGATGAATAAGGGATATAGCTAGAGTAGTTCGTAAGAACTTGAAAGAAAATTGAAATCCGTTTGAAAGTTCGCATAATAACTAGAGAATAATGACAGCGATATAGAATAGTAGATGAATTTAACTACCAACAGCTGTAATAATGAATATATCCCTCGAATAGAAAGTCCTGTTAACCTTTCAAATTGATCCGTACTTCATTCGTTTTACTGAGAAAATCTTATCTGAAGGCGCTGTGTCACTCATTCCCCCCCCGGATAACCATCTGGTATTCCATACCAGGCATCCCTCTTAGCAACTAGCCTGATCAGTTCAAGCACTTTTCGACATAAAGTATACCTTCGGAATGTGTCTTCAAGCCCCGTAAGTCCTGACTTCTGGTTCGACTGAGTTTAGGATCCTCCGATTATATAAGTGTTAGTGACAAAATGTTTCCAAGCCCAGAATATCCGTGACAATTTTATGGCCATGAAATAGCTACTCAGATACTGCTTTGTGTAACAGGTGTAAACGGTTTCGAGAGCTCAATCAAGACGTCATAATCAGAAAGCAGGAACAGAGAAACGAAATCATGTGTATGACAAGCCCCACCTATTAGCTTTACACTCTTTGACGAATTATTGAGACAGATACTCGACATAACTAATATTACTTACTTTCCCTTAATTTCTGAGTAATCGAGAATGGTTTCTACATTCAGTTTTTTAGATATCACCAAACCTGTTAACCCCCTCCAGAATAACACAGAAATCAGTTGTTTTCTGTATTAAAGCAATAATATTGGTCTGAAAGTGACTAGAGAGAATTAGAACTGTAACCTAGTCATCGAGGGATGAGAAAAGTATCTCAAGTATAGAACGAGGTCTTCAGAAGTGAAGTATATGATTGACCGTGACCCTTTAATTAAAATATCTCGTGAGAATTACCCGAAACGTTATTATTATCGGAAGTATGGATTTGGAAACCTAATAAACGGAGAACCTGTTTTTTTGTACGCTTCACCATTAATCAGAGACAAACACAAGACTTAAGAGCTTCAGAATGTCTCGTTGCTCTAGCCCTTGCTCCGGAATCTAGTTCTCATATACCCATAATCCCACTTAAAACTGACTCCTCTGAAGTCTTAATTATGTAAAATACTTGAAGGAGATCAAGTCTGTTTTCTGACTAAGGGACTGCGAAATCTGAATAAGAATTGAGCACAACATATTGGAATATATCAAGAGAAATAGTTATGAGACAAATGAAGCTGTTTTTAATCTTATGAAATAGAATGCGCCTAATTTGGGGCTTTCAATTCACGATTGTCGCATTCTAACTTTTCTGCCTTCGAAACGACTCATTTCATACATTGTTAATTTTCAATGAGCTATGAGCATCTTGTCAATTAATATAATCGAACACTTATATGTTTAACACATTTTCTGCTCATAAAGCATAGGTGTAAGCTACTCAAGGACAAGTACGTTAGAGAAGGGAGGAAAACGGACACATATATATGTTGTCGCCTCAATCCAGTCGTTCCGTGGTACATTCACATTTTCAGAAGACCGAACGACCCATCTAGGTCTTTCATATAAACTTATGGTGAAAAAAACATTTACAGTATAATTAATTATTTTACGTTGTCTTTAAACCCTCCATGATAATACAATACCGTTTGTGTTCTTGGTTGTGATATGTTGAAGTCATAGACTTTTCATAAGTAGTGTCATTTCGTCATGTCGTGCTCCGAGATACTGAAAGGCCAGTCGTGCACAGACCAAATCGCGACACTACGGATTATTGTTGAACAACCAATGAAATGTAACTTATCACTGTATATCAATTTCCTTGACTATGAGAAAGCATTTGACAGTGTGGATAGGAGAACTTCATAGAAACTTCTTAAACACTATGGGATACCTGAGAATAACAAACGAACTCTTGACAGGCCTGTAAATCTCCTGTAGGGTAGGTGTATTTACTCGAGTTGGACAAGGGCCTGTAACCTAAGTCACACCCTGCAATCGGTACTCGACCTGAACATTCATGTTATGGTGTAGGGTTGTGTTGGTGAGTAAACAGAACAGCTCAAATCCCTCCAACGTGGCATAGTTTATTAGTGAGAATATATCAAAGGAAAACCGAGTATGGACATAATGCAGCATAGCCAGCGCCGTAAAGTCCAAGAGATTATTCTGCACTGACTACACTTGACCGTTTCAGTTTCTTGTGAATTTTCATCTGATATGTTCAAGAAGAAGATTACTGGACCTTTTATCCATGGCTCAGAGACATTTCTCGGGTCCTTCGAACTAACCTCGTCCCTGGAGTTGAACTTGACACATGCAATTGTTGTATATGTTTAGGTAATTAATACCCAGTATTTGCCCTACAGGTTTAACATCATTGTTAACGGAATCCCGGTGGGTGGTTGCTTGTCGCTCTCGTCATAATATGTGACATCTATAAACCCTCAGCAACTCTGATTTCATCGAAGAATCCCTATTTTTGGCAACTTTTTTGGTAGGAATATCATTCCTAAATCCTGAGCATTCATATTTTACAGTAGTAATGTGTCCACTTACTCCATTTTACCGAATGTTACAGTAACAGTTCCGTTAATGCTAGTTTGCAACGTTTTGAAGAGACTGTAACACCTTAGGTTGATTGGATAAGAGTTGACGTCAAACGACTGAGCATATGTCAAAACAGTAGAGTTCAAGTATTCACTCACTTCCTTATTCTGTCTAGGCGTTATATTTCCTATTATCTTATATTGAATGTTGAGGGGCTTTGTTTGTCTGAACAGTTGATCCCACGCCCCACTGTGACTACAAGAAGATCTAAATAAAGATCTATTCACTACAACTAGTCTGGTTTCTTCTAGTAATAGCACGAGGGTTTCCTACAGGCGCGAACAGACTCTGGTCCCACACATAATACAAGTGTGTCTTGGAGTAGTAAATAAATGTTTGCACCCCACTTCATTCAAGTGAAAGGCAACTGCACTTACAGCGGGAAATGAATCACTGTACGTTACTAGTGGTATAGAGGTCCCTACGCGGCAGAATGTGTTTGCCCGTGCTTGGACTATTAAGTAAGCATTCGATGATGTCATAAAAAAACGGTTGAGATCGCCTGGAGAAAGAGTCCGTGGCAACAAAATCGTAACGCTTGTCAAAACATGGGCCACAAAAATCTACTAGAATCCTCTACCCGGACTCGACTAAGGCCTTTACAAGTGATTGATCTTCGAATGTTATTCAATACCATGTTTGTAAGTTACTTCTTTATGTTGACTGATTTCTTCCAAACAAATTGCATTGTGGTCACTAGTCTAACTGATTTAACATTGCTTGTACTATGTTGTGATGCCAGGCAGTTGGAAATAGGCGACTGAATACCCTAGAACAATCGCCCGTGCTAGTTGAGAATTTTCGCCAAAGTGTGCCTGTTAACATAAGGAGAATAATGCTCTTTCAGGTCACCGCCTCAAACCAAGCGATAACAATTGGCTTTGGGTAGTGGCCACATTGCCACTGGGAAAGGATTAGTACTCGTAAAATTGGTTACCACAAAAAGATCAACCAGTTGCAAATACATTTCAGTCACGTAAGAAATCAGTCATTGCCCGGATAGATCAATGGTAAAGTCTGTCACTGTGAAAATGAGCGAAACAGGATGGTATCCACCAGGGAGAAATATCTCCTGTAGGAGTGCAGATACACCTCGCTGACGGTGCTTAAAAGCAAGGAATGCAGGCACAGAGTTTCTTGTCGACTGCTTCGAAAAATCACCCTACATGTCGAAATCCGGCGAAATGATGAATAATGCCCCTGGATTAGTTCCCCAATTGCATTATTATTCAATTGTTGGAAAACAGATGGATAGCACCTTAGACTAGATGATTGATAGGCGTGTTTCAATAAACCGAAACGAGTGTTGACAGTTATTTAATATCAACGTCAAAGAATAGACCTTCAACTTAAACCATGATGCACACTTGTTTCAACAACTACGAATATGGTTTTAATTTGTGAGCATATTTTCTAGGGGTTTGGCCATCAAATCTTAAAAATATGACGACAGGAATAACCTATGTTGACATCCTATGTTGTACTGTACTGATTCAACTGTCATTTTCTTGTATAAATTATCCAGAACTTTGTACGTTGCTTTTGAAAAAGGAGTTTTTATTTTGAGG